AAATTCGATGACGAGGAACCCACTTTGAGACTAATAATGGCTGGAGACGGCTTAAATGGGAAATGAAAAAAAACTTTAATATAAGTTTAACATGACAGCAAATGTACAACGTTTCGACAAGGTTTTGTCATCATCAGGTACATCAGGTACATTTGCTGTCATGTTAAACTTATATTAAAGTTTTTCTTCATTTCCCATTTAAGCCGTCTCCAGCCATTATTAGTCTCAAAGTGGGTTCCTCGTCATCGAATAAAAGGTCTAAATTCCTCCCTGATTACATCAGTCTTTATATCAATGTTCAAATCAACAAAATTAAGTCATCTGATGAAACTACGTCCATATGTGGACACAAACGCACTGGGTATTGCCCCCTTTTCTTTTTTTCTTCTTCAAACACCAACAATCGGACATAACATGACCAGGTGTTTTTTACAAAAATGGCAGACAGGCCTTGATTGTTTTAAAGAAGTTTTATCCTGACATTCAAAATATTTCGAACTAGAGGAGCTGGATGTTTTAGAAGAATCCTCAACTTTAGTGGATTGAACAGATACAGGTTTTTGTTGAGATGGTATGAATTTCTTTTTTATGAAAAGTGATTTTATGTGTTAAAGTGTAGTCATCTGAGAGAGCAGCTGCTTCCAATGGTGTTTCAACTTTCTTTTCATCTAAGTAAGTTTTGAGGTCGTCACGTGCACAACGTCTAAATTCCTCAATTAGACATAATTGTCTTAGTTTGTCAAAACTGTTGCCAATATGCATAGAATTGCACCATCGATCAAAATAAACCTCTTTTTCGTGGGCAAATTTTTGGCGAAACTTTTGGCGATAAGCCTCTGATACTAACTCGTATTCTTTGAGAATAGCTGCTTTAACTTTATCATAATTCATACAATCTTCTAGAGAGAGAGAGGCATAAGCTTCTTGTGCTTTTACAGTTAAGACACTTTATAATAATGATGATGACCATTTTTCGGTGGGCCATTCCATAGTTTGCGCAACCTTATCAAAATGTTGGAAATATTTATCAACTTAATTTACATTAAATGGTGGTACTTTAACATATCTATTAAGTTCAAAGTTGTTATTTTCCCTTGGTCGATCAGTGTTGAGTCTAATTTCCATTTCTTTCAGCCTAATTTCTTTTTCGGTTTCAATGTGAGCTTTTTCGGCCTTGAGACGTTTATTTTCTCTTTCAGCTTCAATACGAGCTTGTTCTTTCTCTTTCTCGGCTTCGATTCGAGCCTGTTCTTTCTCGTCTTCAATTTGAGCTTGTTTGATATCGAGTTGTTTGAGTTTTAGCTGGATCTCTAATTTATCTTTATCACTCAACCCCGATTGGCTAGTAGGGATACTAGAGTATTCCCCTAATGCTTCCTCAGGAAACAAATCATCATCGACTAGTATTTCGATAATACACTTTTTTAGTTCATTTTTTCTCATTGACCTTTTAACTTCTAGTTCTAAAACTTTGGCAATTTCGAGCAATTCATTTTTGTTATATTTTCCTAGTTGTTTGAGGGAGGGTGATACAAGAAAATCTTGATAATAAGACATGATCAAATCTTGTTGGCACTGATAAATATAAATTCCATTGTGATTTAAATTTCAATTTAGATCGAATTTTGTTTCTGATTCAGATCTCGAACATAAGCCCCCAATTTATTATTGTTGCGTATTATAATTTTGAATTAGTCCGAAGCCGAGTTAACTGATAATTTAAATTTAGTAGTTAAATTGTACTTTAGATTTAGTATTTAAATATATGCCGATATTTTAGTCAATTTACGATATTTGCCAGCAAAATTGATACACACTGTTTTCGTTTTTAACACAAATACGTTTTAATATACACACACAACCATACAATTTACAATAACAATTATTA